TTATTTTCAAAGACCTTTGAGAGCAATCAGCTGTCGAAAAATTGCGAGTGTATATATATAAGCACCATTTTTACCCGGTAATTAGTCCCTTCGATACCATCACCTTAATAATTTATCAGATTTTTTTAAAAATTATTTTTTAATAAACCAAATTCACTGATAATACGAGATATGCATCAAAACTTCACAAATGTTATAAAATGACAAATTATGTAAAACACACTCTCTCAAATAAAGGAGTTGATGTATGGAATTCGTTAGAAACAAAACTTAATGAAATAAACTCCTATATAACACCTTCGAAAAACAAATTAAACAACATTTTTTGCTATGCAGAATTATAAAACATACTTCTATATATGTATATAGTACTTTAGTATATTCTAGCCCAATCATTGTAAAAAATCAAATGAATCTACAACATTAATATTCATTTATGAAATACGAAAATTCCCCCTTCTTTTTCTCTTTTGTACATATAGTATATTTTATTTTATTAGTTTTACAATAAGAAATTGAAGGCACAGACAACAGGACTAATAAAGTCCCAAATTAAGTCCTGCCATACATGAGAATACTACGCTATACTATACTATAAACCATTGAACGGTTGTAAAATTAACAAAATACATAGCTAGTTACATATTTCACGGTATTGCGCGTGGTTACATTCGTACAAAAACTCAGAACATGCACTTTTACGAACAACAAGACATGAAACAAGAACGACATTTGCATGGGCAAAACGTTTTCCAAGTACTTGTCCTATTAAGGGACCGGTCATTATTTATGACGGAATTGGCACCGAAGAGAAAAAGGTTGGGTAAACAAAATTTTGAGTAAGTAAAAGGTTGGGTAAATGAAAAACAAAACAACTCAAGGGTTGGGTACAGCCTAGTCCCAGTCGTTCTGAAGCAAGCGCGAGAAAAAACGTGGATGTAGTACGAGACTGGGACTTAGGTGTGACGTCACCGCTAAAGGTGCTTCAGAACGCCTAGCAGATTTCAGTATTTTTAATATGGCGGAAAATTTAGATATACAAATAACCTTGTAAATACGAAATGTTCGTTGATCATGTTCGATATCTACATAACCAAATTCGAACTGTATTAAAATGTGCTCAATTTAAAAAATATATATACAAATTTACGATACAGAGTCTGAGCAATGGTCGTATAATCGTTTATGATATTTATATACTCGCAAGTTGTGATCAACTAGACCATACGAGTATACACAACTACGCTTTCTACTTGACAGGTTTAAGCAGCTGAGGAGATTGGAAATATTTGCCTGACATGACTATGTTGTCAAAACATTTTTAGTCGGAGACTCGGCATAATTTTCAAGCTTCTAGATAGCATGTGATATGGCTTTATATTATTGTAAACACGAGTCACACGGAGTGTAAACACCCGTTACTCCATTCTGACCGTATGGTAGCGAAACGTAGCGTATTTCATTGTTCCGACAGCATTAGAGCAAAACTAATGATTTAATTATAAACGCAAAGGAAATTTCCATAACATTTTCTATTTACAAATGCGGTATGCTTGGTAACCAGGCCAGGGACCACTTTTTTGAAATCAGGGACCATTTTAACGAAATCTGCTAGGCTCTCTCGCTGAAGCGTTCCGCACAGCACACCCAGGCATAAAACTTTTGAGACTTATTTAAATATATAAAAGCAGTGAATAGAGGGAGAGAGCCTGGGACTAGGCTGGGTTGGGTAATAAAAATTTATTGTCATTTCCAAAACATTTCCAGTGACCCACTGAAATATTGTTGACTGAAAAGCAATGTCAACAGTCATTTGTCAATACAATATGTGAATCAATCAGAGTCACTGTCTTGATCATTTTGACAAAACAAATGGTGTCTCCAAAGAAAGTACATGTGCAGACAACATGAAACTTTAGACTGCAGAAAATTGCACAAGCCGTTATCAAACTCATGTCACAGAACTCAGAAATGGTAAAGGACATGTGTGACAACTGAATGGTATCTTTTTGCAACGTTTTTGGCCAGGGGTGGGTAATTATTTTTTAATTGATATTTGAGGTTGGGTAATCAAATTTTTTACTTTTAATGGTTGGGTCAGCAAAATTTTTGCCACGAAAAACATTTCTCTTCGGTGCCACCCCCACTATAAATAATGACCGCTCCCTAACATCAAAACAATATATACGTCAAAACTTTCTAATTTTACATATTGTATTGATTGACTGTAAATAATTACCTCCGCCAGGAGGTTATGTAATCATCTGGGTTTGTATGTGTGTGTGTGTATGTGTGTGTGTGTGTGTGTGTGTATGTGTGTGTGTGTGTTTGTCTGTGAGCACGATAACTCAAGAAATACCAAACATATCCGTACGAAATTTTTTGAATGCATTTCCCATCGGCTAAGGAAGAACTGATTAAAATTTGGTTGAATTTGGTTAAAAATTGAACGAGAAATCAACAAAATTTTGTCTTGCTCTTCCCGGTCAATTAACAAAATATATTACTGAATGCGTAATTAGGACGTGTATAATTTATGCACTCAGTGCTAAGACAGTAATGAGATGATAAACCTCATTAAGCTTCGGCCTTCATTATCTATTGTCTTAGTTGCATTTCACGCGACCGAAATTCAATGTCTAAAACAAGGCTTACGGAGTTACACATTATTACGTTCAGCAAAGTGCCAGTCCATTCAAATTCTAACAACATTAGATTACTTCAATACAGGGTGTATAAAAAGAACGCAACCTCGGAATTTCCCAAGAAATCGACATTGTTTTAAAGACAAAAGATTTTAGCTGCCTGGGAATTTAAAATAGCACAACTGTGAAAATTACTGCACGCGCGAATGCATAAAGCAAAATTTATGCATTTATTTAATGACACTTAATAAGTTTTTATTTTACAAGTACTGTACAGTACAACAACAGTAATATGTTCTATAATAGCATAGTTGCCCGGGTTTCTTTTGTTTCAACAGGGACGTTTAATCACGTATCGCCCGCTGTAGCGGGCGATTAGTTCTAATCGCCCGCTAGAGCGGGCGATTAGAACTAATCGCCCGTTACCAAGGGTCACACCTTTGTCTCCCTGACGACTACGCATTAGGCAAGTGCCTCACGCACATAATCGTGCAAGGAACAGCAACAGTTAGCTCAGAGCCGTCAATAGTCTATCATCCGATCCCTGAGTTGCCGCATCATTTAAATTACGCACGTGCAGTCTCCAAATTTATACTAATATATTTAGCGTGTTTGTTGTGGTACGTTAAATGATAGATTGCGCATGCGTAACCGATTAAAGCGTAAAAAGTGCGCATGTGCAACAAGCTTTTACATCCCACAAGCAATGAAGCAAATGTTTTAGCTTAAATACGCTGATTCCAAGTAGGGCATGTTTGTCCATTTTTAAATGGGAGCGAAAATATGCTATTACAAACTAATAGCATGGCTTTTCGGGAGATTAGTGATTAAATGACCCCTTACCCTCGGCAGGTTTGCGGAATTCCCTCGGGCTTCGCCCTCGGGAATTCCGCAAACCTGCCTCGGGTTACGGGGCCATTTAATCACTAATCTCCCTCAAGCCATGCTATTACTTATAATAATAGCATAGTTGCCCGGGTTTCTTTTGTTTCAACAGGGTCGATTACTAACTAATCGCCCGCTGTAGCGGGCGATTAGTTCTAATCGCCCGCTAGAGCGGGCGATTAGAACTAATCGCCCGTTACCAAGGGTCACACCTTTGTCTCCCTGACGACTACGCATTAGGCAAGTGCTTCACGCACATAATCGTGCAAGGAACAGCAACAGTTAGCTCAGAGCCGTCAATAGTCTATCATCCGATCCCCGAGTTGCCGCATCATTTAAATTATGCAGGTGCAGTCTTCAAATTTATACTAATATATTTAGCGTTGTTGTTGTGGTACGTTAAATGATAGATTGCGCATGCGTAACCGATTAAAGCGTAAAAAGTGCGCATGTGCAACAAGCTTTTACATCCCACAAGCAATGAAGCAAATGTTTTAGCTTAAATACGCTGATTCCAAGTAGGGCATGTTTGTCCATTTTTAAATGGGAGCGAAACTATGCTATTACAAACTAATAGCATGGCTTTTCGGGAGATTAGTGATTAAATGACCCCTTACCCTCGGCAGGTTTGCGGAATTCCGCAAACCTGCCTCGGGTTACGGGGCCATTTAATCACTAATCTCCCTCAAGCCATGCTATTACTTATAATTATAGATCTTGGGCGTGTTTCTAAATGACCAGGGTGTGCACATGTCAATTACCTTGAATAGCCAAATTAAAAGGTTCTACAACAAGGGACAATATTCCTGTGGTTGTTCTATGCTTTGCAAATAAATACAAGGCAAGCATACGCTCATATTGTGCACTGACATTAAAATATTAAGTTATTTCAGCAAATCCTGGGGGTATTTAAAACCACTTTAATACCGTACAGACTACGGTTTCCATTCTCCATCAAAACATCACGGATCACTTCTGCCAATTTCAACAAGAACAGTAGATTTTACAAACTTTCTTACGACGTAAATAGAAAGAAATTCTGTCTGTTGTAAGTAGCACCACCTTACTTTATGAACCTACACGGCCTTATATAAATAATGAAGCCGCGTTCATTTTATCTAGCCGTGTTTTTCCATTTTTGGCCGCGATAACACGGCCAACACGGCCTTCTAGCTAAGACCCTGTCTCCAACAAGCTCCAAATATGGTGTACTAAAACTTCAATATACTGTATAGTGTAGATATATTGCTGAAGCACATTTTAGAGTGTTGTACATAAGATTTTCAATTGAAAGAAAAATATTACGCATTATTTTTAAATTCAGCATAAATATTCTTTCCTTCCTAATATATATGACATTAAAAATTTTGAAATGGCATGAAAACAAATTCCTGGTCAGAATTTCAGTTGTGTTGATGAGTTTCACTTGTCACAATGAGCAAAAAACCCACAAGCACTTGTTTACCTACCTCAATATGGTTTATATCCTCGATTTATAGGAGTTGATGTGTTCCTTGCGGGACCATAGGCAGAGGAAGACTGGTCATAAGCACCCAGTTGACCACTACTAGCACCACCAGTACCAGTACCATATGCACTGTACAATGCAGCCTGAACATTTGCTGGATTCACACCTGCAGCACCAAACATTGCACTCATAGCATTAGCATACGCTGACATATCTCCCATACTACCTGCCGCCTGATCACCATACATGGACGAATTCTGAGCACCATAGCCAAGAGCAGCAGCATCACTTGCACTCGGAGTACTGGTGTTGACATTTCCACTAGGGTAAGTATTTGATTTGTAACCATCACTAGTGCTTGATGGTCCTCTATATGAATCACCACCACGACCACCCATCCCATCACCACTACCCCTTGCATCCATTCCCATATTACCCATGCCACCACCACCACCCATATTACCCATGCCACCACCACCCATATTGCCCATGCCTCCCATTTGATTCATGAACATGCTCATCATTCCAGCCAGAGCCATTGGATTCATGTTGAAACCTCCACCATATCCACCAGAACCTGTTTGTGAAAAAAAAACCTCTAGCTTTTAACCTGTTTATAAAGAAATTACTACATTATCTACTTCCAGTTCATTTATCCCTTCATTGCAAATATTGCAGTATTGAATCTCAAGTCAAATACTGCCTGAACTTTAAACATTTCACGTGCCTCACAAGTACCTTAATTTGCCACATCATGCGTGCATAAAATTAAAATTGTACTAGGCTACTAGCAGCAAGAAATCTTATTACCTCGGGTCGGAACGACACCGAGGTCTTAAATTCGGCTCCTATTTTTTTTTCTTGTTTTTTTTTTTGTTTTTCATTTGTGTCGAGCCGCGCGCGTAGTCGAAGATCGAAGGGCCTGCGGAGGAGACGACAACTTCCGGTAAATAAGTGTACTTCCGGCAAGCATCGGCCAAAGCGAAACGGAACCCGAAGCTGTCCTTGCACAAAATCCGTCAGAATTGTTGATTTAAAACCAGAAGATGTGATAATTTTGACATACATGTTTAGCTGGACAACTATTCTCGAGTATATGTTGATATAATGTACAGTACATCGTATGCATAGCATGGGAATACCGCGGCCAACTTTCACTTGTTATCTATTATAATTACTGACCCGAATCAAAAGTAATTATTTTCGGCTGGAAGACTACTGTACGTTGCTGCTTGTCGGGACCGTATGACAATGAACCTATCCAACGTTACACCAGACATTTGTGAGGACATGCATATAGACATAACCATAGGCACTGTAGTGCATTGTGATAGAACAGATTTCAGTTTAATTAATCGCCCTAAATTAAAATCTCCACAAGTGGAGGTCAATTATAGTCTAGTTTACATATTATCATTAATGTTAAGGTTTACTCAAATAGCGTATTGGATAAACACGGGAATAGAACTTATGGTGTATTCTGCACATGCGTATATCTAGGATAAAATCCCACAAGCGCAAACGAAACTATTTCTCTATAAAATTGAACTGAAAAGACTCACAGCGACCGTTTCCAACAGTGCTTCAGGCACCCGACGACACCGTATGGGGGGCCTTTAGCACTGTCACCTTCTCATCTTGGGAATGCATTATTGCTAATAATGTCTGTGTGCACTGATGCACGCTGCATTATTTTTAATAATGTTGTGTGCTATTTTAACGCGTACATAGAATATGACGCGTATAAACATTTACCCCTGAGCCGGAATTTCCCTATACAACCAAAAAGGCCGCTCCCGTTTTTCAGTACAACGTTAAATGAAAACTTCTCGACATTCGCTGATATAATGCAGAGAGAAAACAATAGGTTTGATGAGGGCCAGTAATTATTGTCAATAAAATATTAAAACGGAGCTTTGATTAACTGATTCACCATTTATACTAGTGAACTATTAAACTATCGTGATTTACACAATTTTTGGATATTTACCAGACGATCCCCTATCCACCGACCCGAGGTTAACGCCGAGTCGGCGTCTTGTTGGTTAAAAATTTGGCGATCGTCTGGCGCTCGACGAAAAGTAGATGTCAATCCTACTTTTCGTCGAACGCTAGACGATTGCACTTCAAACATTTTTTCAATTGCGCATGTGTCGTCGCGAACTGTTTTGACGATCGTCTCAAAAATCGTCTGTTGGAGATCCGCCTTTATTTGCCCTCTTTCTAGTGGTATAGTTTATTTTTTGTATAAGAGAACATGAAATTTTACATTTTTTGCCATCATAGTAATTTAATAGGCAAAATTTTAAAATTCTCAATTTTTTGGCTATAAAGCAAAAATCAGAAGTGGTAACACACACAGTCTTATTCACCAAGGCTTGAACTATAAGAAAATGCCTGTTACGAGCTTCTAACATAAAGTTGCCATCAAACTCTCTTTAGAGGCACTTTTTGCCACCTTGGCCGGCTGACTACGATGTATCAGCCGTGTATATTCTATAATGCAATTATGTAAATTACTTGAACTAGAAAATGGTGCGTGAATTAGCACTGAAACACCGCTGTAAAATAAAACATTTATTGCTTCGGTAAAGAAATTTAGAACACTAATATCCTTTGGGAATTAAATAGCGCGGCACCAAAAGTACAATCAATATACAATACAGATAGATATGTAAATAACATGGTTCAAGGTATCTACGAAACACGGAGATGATATATAACAGACCAGAGACGATAGACGGGGAGACATTTAGACAATAGATGAAAATAGACGATAAATTGTGTCACGACTCACGATAGATGTCAGCGGTACTGTACAATGCAAATCATTTGTATTCAAGATAATTGAATGATCTCACACAAAGTATGAAAGAAATAACTTTTCAGTTTTCACAATTCTTACCGGCAAATGAGGCAATAAAAAATTTGGTGCCAACCATGAAACAGCAAAAATTTACTAAGGACTGATTACATGGAGCGATTTCAGCCTGGGAACTCAGCACGGGCTGAAAATTTTGATGATTACATGGGCATTTTCAATCTGATTCAGCCTGGGTAAATTCAGGGTGCGATAATTCGCGTACTTACGTACCGGAGGTACGCCAATATTACAGTCTGGCTGGTACTTTTTGTTTTGTAGCCAAGTACCACGTAGTATAGGTACGCAGGACTTTCACTATCTGCATACTTAACTTTTGTTGGAAAACTACATACTGTAACCTTTCCAAGCTCAAGGTATTCCAAAAAGTGATTAAGGTAATTCCGCAGTTTTGCATTGCGCACTTTTACTGCGCACATTTTATAACTTATAATTTCATCTATTATACGTACCGTTTAAAAAAATCATTTTATGACAATTTTATGTTACTTCAAAACATCTTTGGTTACTCATGTTTCGCTCGCTACTCTGGTTTAAATAAATGATTACAAAGCCCAGTCGAATTGTAATCAAGAACCAACGTTTCGACACTCCAGTCTAGTGTCTTCATCAGGGGTGATCTAAAATTGCAATCGTGGCTTCTTAAATACCCAAGGGATGACGTTACCTGCCAATGAGATGCATATATTCCTCTGGCAAATAGGCACCGTCATCCCTATTCAAAGCATGATTACTCATATTTATATGCCACGCTTCTAGG